TAGCAAGTTTTGTGCTTTGCCGGGAAAAGTTAATGAAGCTGTGATCGAGAGCTTGGATCCGAAACTAGTAACAAGATATTTTGTTGTATTACTAATACTTTGCAGCTTTTGTGCTTCACCGGAAAAGTTAAATAGAGGTGGGATTGAACTTTGAGATTCGGAATTCAGAAGAACTTGGAACTGGCATAACAATAAGTAACGGGTTTTGAAGGCATAGAATATTAACAGCATAAGCTGATAAAAAGTGATAAGTATTAATTGTATTTGTAAATAGATCATTATTATATATGTACGTACGTATATATGAGGGGTACGAGATGTGAAAAATTTGTAAATAAAATAACTTAAATAAATTATATGATCGGTTATATTATGTCGGGTACTATATCAATTACTATTGTTTTTACTAATAAACGAATATGCTATACAGTATATTGATTATTGGCAGAGGTAATTACTATCGAATACTATCATATTTCGTTATAAATCGAACCCACTATATATCGACTTAGATTGTTTTTTACTAATAATCGAATACGTTATATATCGATTACTATTATGATCGTTAGTAATCGGCAGAGGTGATTAGTATCGATTTGTATCCACCTGGTTAGTAATTGATATATATCGGTCTATTTTTTTTGCTGATATATATACCTCAAAATCTAATTAACAAATGTTTTACAAAGCAGTATAACAACTATTCTATTAATTTTATTGGTTAACACATGTTATATGATTAAATTTTCATTATAATATAAGACATTTGTTATATTTGTTTTAGAAAAAATCTTCATATATCTTATATCAAGAGTTTACTAATAAACTTCATTATATTGAACGAAAATTTATTAATAATGAATTTGTTCTAAAAATATTCTTTACTATAAACCAATCTTTACTATAGTGAGAGTTCACTATAACAAGAGTGACTTGTAGCTATTGTAATAAAGCATATTAATTAAATATCTAGCATTGTATTTTTTTATACTATAAATATATAAATATTGTACTTGTAAATATAAATATAGTCAACTCTCTCTAAGTACATATTATCAGGACCAGTACTTTGACCTGCATTTAGAGAGAACTTGCAATTAGAGAAAAATTAAAATTATTAAAAATTTTATTAATA